GCATCGTAACCGCTCCTGAGAGTCCCAGGACCACGTGAGATGAGGAGTGCCACTGGGGCGAGCAGACCTCTCGTGACATCAGCTTTGGTAGCTCCCCCTATATATGCTATTTCAACAGTTCGACTTGGAGGAAACATGATATGTTGAACAAAACCCAACGAACACGTGCAAGTGAACATGGTGTCTTGTGGCCAACAACAACTCACACAAAGGGAGAGCCAGGGAGAGCCTCTTGGCGGTTAGACTTCCAAGTGGCAAAATCAACTCTCCGGCCTGAGCCCTCCGAAAAGAGCTGCATGTTCATGATGAACATTCAGGAACTGACTCAATCTGTTTAGAAAGCTCACAAACAGAATGCAATGTTTCTTTCAGCAGTGAAGCATTGTCACTGAGACCTTTGCGGTATTCACGGACCTGGCGGAATACTCATCTTCGCGCTCCCATGCCACCTTTCCTTCACATCCATTTGCATGTCCCACCCCCAAAAAAAACATCAACCCTTCTTAATGCTGTTGGGTTGCAACCCCCCTTGGTGAACACACCCCACATGAACAGCACAAGACCTCCTACCTACGACCTCCTACAACCTCCTTCTTTCAGGGCATTCCGACTGACATTTGGAAATCCCAGAATTGGGTCGCTGAGCCGACACTTTCAAGGTCCTGCTTGGGGTGGTGCTTTTGGCATCCTCCCAACCCTGTTGGTAAACACACTTTAGACACAAACCAACAGCTGACTAATAAGCCGAACATCTCCAAGGTCCAGGTCCTTCGTGACCCTTTGAGATCCCATTGTTCTTTGACATTCCTCCCAACCCACCCTGGCTGTTCTAAGCTGCCAAGGCTCTTGGTGACGTAGTAAGCTATGTTCGGCAGGAATCCTTGGACTCCTGCTTGCCGTACAGCCACCCAAGAGCTTTCCAACTCCTCCAAGCACAACGGTGCACAACACGCATCTAACCCAGCGCAGGCGATGGGGAAGACGTCTATCACAGGGAACTCGGGAGGATGCCTCCCAAAAAACACCTCGAACATTGAACAGACATGAACAGTCTTTCAGGGATAGAACTTATCACGGTATTACATTTCTTGGTTTTGCCCAACACAGGGTAAGAGTGTCAGAGTGTGCATGGGAACACCAGTTGTTAGCAATCCAGAAAAAAAGTTGAGGAAGTGAGTTCAGTCCCATGATACAATAAAAACATCCGATTTCCTCTCACTTCCCTCAAGAGGCAGTTTTTGGACTGTGCCTGTCTGGAAGACCCGAGCCCTGAGATCCGGGTGGCTAAACCAAAATAGCCCGTACAAGGGTACAATGCTTCAATGAACACATGCTAAATCCTTCCGTTGACCCAAATCATCCCAAAATCCTTGGTGGGCAAGCCCGAAATCAAGATGAATCACATCCAACAAACAACAAATAAACAAAAAGAACCAGCCACTTCTCGACTCCCTACTGCGCCTTGGCCAAGTGTTCACCGGCGAGAACTGCGCTCGGATGATCGACGAAGTTGATAAAGCACATGTCGATGTTGCGTTTTCGCCGGTGCCCTCAGCCACCAGTGGCACAGTATGGTTGTTGGAGAAGAGAATAGACCAGGTGGAATCCAAAAGGGGTGAGGGGAGGGTAGCCGGGTAGCAAATCATCCTGTCCTGCTTGCTGTTGAGGTCACAGGTTCTGGACATGAATGGCTCTAACCACCCTAGGCGGGGCGGCTTCCACGCAACCCAAAAAGACTCCAACAAGAAAATGGAACAATCAACCCGTCGACCTTTGGTCGTTGCTCTCAACTGTCCCAACTCTGCCCGGCGAAGTGGATAAAACTCTGGCACACTAAGGCGCTGGAGCGTGGATAGTAAAAGAGGTCATACCGTCCCGGAGCCACCTGGTCGACCAGCTCCTGGGTGGCGAGCAAAGCAAAGTCGGCGATGCGATGTGCCTTTTCAGCTTTGTCTTGTTCTACTTGTGTTCTTGGAGTCATCCAAGAGGTTGTCTTTGATACTAGCACACGAATCCTAAGCAGCGCCAACAACAGCCCTCTTAGCAGTCCAACCTAAAATTCTAAAGCCCGGGTCTTTGAGTGACCAACATGTATAAAGTAATGAGATTCACCCTTCATCCGAAAGCAAGCGCAAACGAGATTCCATCAACGTCTCGCTGGCCAACTTCGGCGGAAGGAATTTCAGCCTCATGCCGTCGAGCTGCGAGCGAACAGACTCATCGCGCTTGGGAAGGCTGAAGAGTGTGGCTTGGTTTGAGGGTTCTAGTTGGCTGGAACAAAGTTACGTAGTTCTCTTGTGCCAACATATAGCCTCATATAGCTTGACCCTTGCGCCAGGCAACAGTGTCAATAACTTGATCCTGGTCTTTTTTTTGGGGACCTGCAAGGAATCCAAAAAGTAACCAACCATCTTCATTGGAAGTCTGACTGTACGAATGATCCACATTCATGCGAGGAACCACCAACTGGAGTTCCTCCTTCTGTGTCATCTTCCGCTGGAACCCAACATTGAAAACGCCAGTGGACCAACTTCCTCATGGGCTATCGTAGATGTTGGGGTATAGCAACAGCTCTAATGCAAGAATAACCTTGCTTTTTGGATCTTTTTGGTGACCAGCGCTATACTTGTCCTCTATGAAATCTTCAGCCAAGTGGTGGCCCACGGGCCCTTGGTCCGAGGCATGATTGTGGTTGCTCCATCTTCGAGATGAAACCTGGCGATAGCTCATGCACCCATCAGTGTGGAATCCCGTTGCTCACCAAATCGCATCAGTCATGAAGTGAGGTGGCCGAACCCCATAATCCTCATGAAATTCCAGCCAAGAGAAAATAGATCGTTCAAATAACATGAGTGATATCGTACAGGTTGGTACAGGCTTTAATAAATATTAAAACATCGTACCATTGACCATGTGCTGTGTGTTCACTAAATGGGGAGCCAGGACACCTTACAAGTCTTTTTGATCAGGAAATTTAAGAAATATATTTCCATGATAATCCCTCTATTGCGGATCTCCAAACAATAGATTCTATTCTATGGCTACCCCGCAGAAAGAAAAGGTAGAAAAGGATCGGAAGCCGCAAATTTATCTAATTGGAGACCATGCAATCCCATTGTAGGATCAGAATCTCCAAAAAAATGCCATATCGAAAAGCACTTGTATTCTTCTCCAGTTCTTCTAAAGCAAGCATTCCGTTTCAGTGGGCATTTGTTCGTGGTGAAGGGTCAAAGAAAGATTAAAGAAGTAACTTTTTTCCATTGCGGCTCAGAACTTCTGACCCTGGTCGAGAAAAGCAATGAAAAAGGATGACAGGTGACAAAGCTGTTCGAAACCATCTTCCTTTCCAACCTTGTCAAGATCAACACCACCCATGGCCTGTCTTCATCTGCCAATCGGACGGTAATTCTCGCCAATTTCATCAGCAGCCCGCCTGAGTGCAGAACGCCGGAAAAGCTCTTAGCAGTAGTTCACCCATTCCAATATCCCAAAGCATCCCAAAGGCATGAGAGGACTCTTCAATGCAGGGCAAACCTTCATTCTCGATCAGTTCTTGCAGCGAGTGTTTCACACCATGATGAAAGCCAGCACCAATTGCCACCAAGGCGCGGCCAAGACTACTGCAGAAGGCGACGCATGTCGCCCCGCTCAGAAAAATTTAACATGACCCTTACAGCTGAGCCCAAACCGCAGCAGTGGAGCGTTCACGAGCACAGGGGAGCGTTCCCTTGAGTGAGCTCACGTGATTGGGTGGGAGGTCGGGAGAATTGAGTCTAAGGGGTTTGTAAATTCACTAGTTTTTGCTACAAGCCAGGAGGATCCAAGAAGTAGCTCATACCAACAAGTAGTTGACCAAATGGTGGTACTGCTTCAACGAACCAAGTTAAAGAGAGTCGACGGACAAAGGTGGAGAATCCTGCGCGTCCACAAAATCAAGAAAAGTTACCCCATGGCGGTCGAACAGAGTGGAAGAGAAACGTTGGAGGCAGAAGTGGAGCGGGTTTGGTTCCAAGATGTTGGTTCCTTCCTGACTTGTTTCTCATCGGAAAGTCCCATGCGTTCATCCAGTTGCTGTCGAGAGTGGATGATTGTGGGGTGGTGATAGATTGGAACGTTTGGAATAATGTAGAGAAACAGTTGCCGCAAAAGTTTACAGGCTGCAATGTGCAGAATGCAGGATGCCATTCTCAAGCCATACATCATACAGGAACATCTCAACCCACTCCCCCGAGGATTCGAGGATCTTTTCACTCAAGCCAAGCTCTTTCGTTCCTCCAACGACTTAGTTCGTCTTTGGATGCCGTTGGGCTGCAACGATGGTGACACACACAGTGCCTTGGCCATGAGTTGATCTTGGCCAAGAGCTCGATGCTGCCTGGAGCGGATTCCTTCTTTGTGGTGTGTCCTACTATTGTTGTTGTGGCAGCTTTAGAAAGAAACTGACGACATGCAGCAGCAGGGATAAGCAGCAGGGAAATCAAAAGCACCGCCACGACATGCAGCGATACACACATTGTATCAGTGTAAATAGGATTAAATAGGATGGTATAGACAGCATGAGAATCCTCACTTTCCTGCATGAAGCATCAGGAACCATTGCAAAACATTCGCCCAAAATGGCAAGTTGATCACAAGAAATCACAAGAGTTCCCTGGGAAGGATCGGTCCCCCACCCTGAAGCACCTCAGCCTGATCGCCCGTGCTGATGCCGGAAGCGCTCCAGGTTTTCGCGGCTGGCTTGGGTCTCCTCGTGGTCTGGGCCGTGAAGCTCCTGCGATGAGTTTTGCCGCAGAAACAGGGTTTCATAGAATTGGTGGACGGTGAGTTGTTTGCTCAAACGTTAGGGGGTATAGAGGTGCACCTCGAAAACGACCAAGTCTCTGACAACAAGACGATACCTCTTGACTCTTTTTCAGTATACTTTGTCGAGTAAGCGTGCACCGCACCATGAAACTCTGAAAACTTTTGTGAGAAATGAGTTGAGCGACAAATTGTCATTGATGCTCATTGAGCAATCGATCTGCGGAGTGCATGGCATCCTTTCAGCGTCTTTCGATTGTCGGGTTGTCCTCCATGCCGTTCAACTCTCTGATGAAAAGCTCTTCAGCCTGGACAATCGGCTCTCTAATTCCCGAAGCTTCAAGCTCGGGCATGATACAACTTAGCCAGTGGGTACGTCCGCTAGCATCATGGTAGGCAATCAAAGAGAAAGCTCCAAGTTCCCAAACGTCCTTTTTCATCCTTTTCCAAGGGTTCGCATTGAGCGAAAACGGCCATTCACCCTTGAAAAAGGTCTCACACTTCCAAATCGCTTCTGAATACTTGCTATTGCCCTTTGAAAGGTCTCGGCCTGAGGTCTCGGCTAGCGTGACGCCTTGAGTCTCCAATGTCTTTAACTGTCATGGAACCCCATGATGACTCCAGATTCATTGCATCCCCAAAAACTCACCACAAATCCAAAAACCGGTTCACCTCCGCCCATCCGCGGAAGGTCCTCCCCTTCAGACCCTTGCTCCCCAGCGCCTCGGCGATGGAGCCGGTCGCCTCCAAGAGCTCGGCTAGGCCATAGACGCTGATCAACGTGTCCGGATGCCCGGCTCCCAGGTGCTCCTCGCGACCCGCCACGGCTCTCCGCATCAACGGTTCCGCGTCGGCAAAGTTCTGCCGCTTCATGAGGACACCCGCCAAATTGTAGACCCAGGTCAGGGTGTCTGGGTGTGAGCGCACGAGATGCGCTTCACCCCCGGCAAGAGCTTTTCGGTAAAGCTCTTCTGCTTCATTGAGGTTGCCTTGGTCTTCGAGAAGCGTGGCGAGGTTGTTGACCCAAATCAAGGTCTCTGGATTTGCTGCTCCAAGAAGAGCTTCCCCTCCTTCCTTGCATTTCCGGGCGAAGGGCTCCGCTTCATCCAAATTGCCCTGATCCTGCAGCACGAGCGCCAGGTTGTTCAATGACACTAAGGTCTTTCGATGCTTCGAGCCCAGCTGATCCTCGCGGCCCGCCAGGACCCGGCGCTGCAGCGCCTCCGCCTCGGCCAATTGGCCTTGAAGCCTCAGCACTTCCGCCAAGTTCCCCACGGATGCCAGCGTCGCCAAATGCGCAGCTCCCAGGCGGCGCTCCTGCGCCTCCACCGCCCTGCGGTACAAGTCTGTCGCTTCCTTCCACTGCCCTCGACGCTCCAAAACCAGCGCCAGATTGTTCAAATCAATGAGCGTGTCCGGATCCTCGGGACCAAACTGCGCTTCGCGCGCCGCCAGGATCTGCCGCTGCAGCGTCTCCGCCTCGGCCAGGGCGCCACGGAACTGCAGCACCTTCGCGAGCCTCCGGGAGTCGAGGTCCAAGGATCGGTTGGAATAGAGAAAGGACCTTTTTAGATGAAGAAATCGTTTTATCATATGATTAATTCGATCTGTAATATGTTGATATGTTATTTGATTTAGATCTGTAATAATCGGATTGTCTTTAGACATGTCATTGAAATCTGACAAAAACAAAAGATGCAAAGCCATTCTCTGAATTTCCAGCACATATTGCATCTGCAGTATAGTCAGTATACTATACAAATTGCCTGAGAATATTTCTGAAAAGGCCAAGGACGTGACCGGTGTAACGCCAAAAGGGTTTCAGCATGCTCTGAGCCCAGGTTGGTGGTGATGGCTTCGGCGCGGCAGCGGAGCCTTGGCCACTCACAACTCGTTCACCAATCTTCTGTCAACACCAGTGTCTCACTTCTCTGACATCAATTAGCTCTACTCTACGGCCATTCAATTTGGGAGAGCGGTTCAAGCCTAAACCTACAACAGTGTCCCAAAGACAAACAAGCAGCAAAGTCAATGGTTGTGGGGCGGCGTTCGCCACTCTTCAAGTCAGATAGTATCGTATTCTGGTATTCCTTGCATGCCCTGAAAATTGTGAAAAGCTTGCAGCAAGCCACGCACAGGTGCAAGGCCATAGTTGCTAGTGCTTAAAATGCTGAAAACGACGTGTTCACAAAGCTCACTGCCCATCCGGGCACCAAGCATGAGAGACACACAAAGGTTGACTGCAACTGCCTCGTCCAATCTGCCAGCAAGCAAGCACTGACAAGCCCAGAACAGAAGGTCGAAAACTGGGTAAGAAGTCGCCTTGATGATGTCGAAAAACAAAAAGACTAAGGTTTTACTATATATGTACTATATTATCAGCAAACAAGCGTCGTTTCCACCAGCACTGCTCTAGCATGGCCGACCTTCTCCTGAGCAAGCAGCAAAGTGCCCTTGTACTTATACTATAGTTTAGAACGATATTTTTTGCCGTTGCGCCACACCGTTTTAAATGGTATTGCAGCGCGCCCTTGCATCTACAGTAATTAATGCCTGGCATGAACACATGCGAAATCAGCATTGTGGATCTGCAGCTTCAACTTGAAGCTACGCAACACTGTATATACGTGCATTCCAGAAGTTGCGAATGCCCGACTGTTTTTGACTGCGAGCCATTATCGTTCCAACATCCCCTACCCAGAGACGCAAAAACCATCTCAACACATGTGCAACCCTGCCAGAACTGCCTAATTGCTTTTGAAGCTTGGCATGACATATAGTTTGCTTGATAAACTGTTGAATTGAAATTGTGGAGTTGTTGTCCCAACTAAACTTCCATGATAATCTGTTTCAAAGTCTGCTCGCCTCCTGTTGTACTCGGACAACTATGCATTCTCTTGGCGGCATTCCAGGTTCATTCAGCAGCTTGCCAGCCAGATTCCTTGGCCAGCTGTAGATAAGTCTAAATTTGGGCATGGAAGCTCGTTTAATGGTGCAAAAGTGAACTTGGTGCGCTGCACTCCGATCGGCCTGCCCTGTACGGAAGACAAGCAGCAAAACGCACGAACACAAGATAGTTTCACACAGTTGCAAACAAATACACAGGCCATGGCAAATCCAATTCGAGCCTTCTCAACCATTTCCGGCGTCTGTCGTTTTGAGACATCATACGCGCAGCTTGCATCAACCAACATGGGGATGCAATAGGCAACTCTGGAGTGATATTCCTTCAAGAATCTCAAAGGGAATCGGCCCCGGTCTGTCCAACAAGGCTAGGCTAGGCTTGCATGCACGAAAGAAATGTGAACACTGCATGCTACATACTTCATCATCTTCAAACAGCAAACATCAAGAAAAATCACAAATTGTACGCAAAGCTCTCCTCTACCGTTGCCTCGCGGCCTTTCAGTTCGATGTCACGCTTCATCATGTTTCTGTAATTATTATCGAGCAGGGTCTCGATGTTGGGCCATTGATTCGGTGCTTTCCGCACCTCAATCGCCCCACAACACGCAAGACGTGACGCTGCAGTTCTGGTGTGTTAGGGGAAATGCAGTGCGGACAGCATGGCTGTATCGGCCCAGGCAGGACCTCTGAGATTTTGCATTCATCGAAGTGTGACACCCGCGTTGGGGTGCCCGCGCAACTGAGTTCTGTACGGAGTAGACACCTGTCATGTCAAACCGTGTGTCTCACAACGGCAGGGGTAGGACAGTCCCAAAACCGGCGCGCACTGTTCTACACGTGCAAGTGATACACCACCGTGGCCAAACATGTTGAAATGAACACCTGCCCAGCAAAACGCCGGCTCCTGAGAGATGCAATGACATCAATAAACTACGAACGTTGTTGCCGTTTCCAAGATCCAGTCTGAGAGAAGACTGACATGCCAGTAGCTGCCCTTGCCTCGACCCCACCAGGCATTGGCCTTTTCACAACGATGCCTGCAAAGGCACGGATGCAATGGAGCTGACTCACTGTGAAGAATTGAATTCAACACATTGTAATGACATTGAACTCTGAGAAAAACACGAAGACTTCCACCAATTCTTTGCTTTCATTGGTGATGTTGTAAAAGCCGAGCTCCGTGGTGTAGTGGAAAAAGCATTCTACGTCACCAGCACCACCAGCACCACCAGCACCAGCTTGCGTCAGATCCTAAGATGTCAAAGGGCATGGATCAGGCAGAGGTCCGACATGTTTCTTGGTCCGCCAGAGATAGCCTTTGGGGCTGCAGGCTGTCACCAACAAGGAAAGCCACGTGCTCGGGGGCCCTTTGTCCCCAAGAGCTTATTGTCCAAGGCTCTGAAACCTGAAATTATAGAAAGCACTGCAGGTGTCAACTCTAACCCGTTTGCCTATAGACATCACAAAGCTTCGCGCTGTTTAAATTTTCTTGCAGTCCCTAACTTACGTCAAATACATCATGCAACAAACATGTGTGTGCAACAACTTAGGTCAGGTCAAGCGCGTCTTGCCAGACCTGCAAGAAACTGCTGCTATGAATGCAGCTCAACTGTCAACTTGGCAACTGTGAAGAGGTGTGACGAGACGTTACGCAAATCCTCACATTGATGGCACCTTGATGTTTGACCCCTTGTGGAGCCAGCACCAGTCAGCCGCATCGTGTTCATACTCCTCGTGAGCGAACACACCACCTTCCTTGTAATCTTTCTCGAAGTAGCGCTTGAGACTGGCCTACGTAGCAAAACGGCGGTGAGATACTCATACACAGGGCAAAATCATGAAGATGACTTGCCCTGAAGCAAATGGCAATTAGTGCAGTCCCACCCACCTTGTGGCAGAAATTCTCGGGTGGTGATATTTATATAATTAGAGTCCAAATCAAGTTGGCTCCAGTATGTCAGGCAAGTCGGGCAACTAGGAGCAAGATTGAGCAAAATAAGTTGTTCAGCGACTCGCATGAATCATGGCCAGTGTTAGGGGGCATGGCTACAAATCTCCTTATTTTGAGTACCACAAATCTCCTGCTATTCTAGAACGTACACTAGCATGTCGGGTAAGTCAGAGGATGGAGAGCCTGCACTAGAATTGATCACAGATTGATACAATTTTGACCTCTACAAGCTGGCGGAGTCTAAAGTTTCAAAAGCAACATACGATCAAGGAATTCAAGTTCCCCTAAACTTGTATGCGATAAATCAATCCTTGCTAAACACTACAAGCAACAGAAACAACTTGGAAATTGGTTATATATTGAACTGAAAACCGGGTTCTCTTTCAAAACAACATATCACATCGACATTGAAGGCATTCATCTGGTTGATCGAACTTAAAGAGTGAACTGGCTGTTAGAAGTTCTTCAAGTCCCTAAGACTACATGAGACTCGAATCTCATCATTGTTTGAGTTGCGCCGCTGTGCCTCAGGCGCTGAAGGTTCTTCCCTCTGCCCTTCTCGCAAGCCATCCCCCGCTGCTGGCTGAACCTGGTCTCAGGATTGGATTACAAGCAAGGATCCAATCCATGTGACATGCACAAAATGTCAACACATGCAAACACAGTATCTATATATTATGAATACATTGCATTTGATTGCATTGATAGAGCAAGTTCCAAAACCCTGGCATGTGCGGAGGCTCAAGTGACAAATCTGTCAACATGTGCCTCAATCTGTTCCAGACAAATCTCTTCTAACGCCCCATCTCGCATGCTGCTTTCAGCTTGCTGTACCTGCACAATGGCAATCAACATGAGATTGTCAACAACTTCAAGCCTCTTGCTCGTCCATTGGAGCATGCCGGGCATGCCGGAAAGAAAATAATGTCAACGGAAACAAGACTTGCTGGCATCTCACTGTCACCGAATCCCTGTCGCAGAATCCAATGACCAATCAAACACAGGCCTCTTCGCGGCCAACTGAGTCGGCACCCTTTCTTAAGTACGACTAGCTTAGAGTATTCTCCAGTCACATCTCCTGCTTGGAACACACCCAAAAGCGTTCTGAGCACATTCCGAGCACGAACAGTGCATTCACATTCTTCATGTTCCAGGACATCAACAGCACCGATGAAAACCGTCGGAAAAAACCGGAATTGAACCGCCGAAGATGCGACCTGACCAGGTTCCGGAAGCCCCGGGCCCGTGTCAACCCCCATATTCCGGAAGCGGTTCGTGTAGCGGATAGCGATGGTCACCCGGTTTCGTCCTGTCCAAAAGCCAAGAGGATGACGCAATGACAATTGTAGCTGGTTGATCTGTTCCTTTCGGGAGCCCTTCAATAGACATATGATGACATATGATGAAAAGGAATATCATGTCCCAGTGATGAGCCTACTTCTGACTGATGCTGAAGATTGCTGAAGGATCACTATAGTTGCCCAATTCTGCCCCAAGTCCACGACCTGATCCGCACTTTTCTCATGCTTTGGCACCTGAAATGGCTTTGGTTGCTGGGTCCTATAGTCACAAGCCAACACTAGTAGAAGCAAGACAGTACTTTTGATGAGGCACACTGTACGGGCATATGCGTACTTTCCATGGCTACAAAATGCTACAAGGATATCCAAGGAGTCCAATTCATATTGGGTGCACTTTTAACTTGGGATTTTTCATGTGTTTTTCGGGAATTGTTTTCAAAGACATTGGCAAAGAGCAGGTTTCTTATTAGTACCTAGCTAATTACAGCAATTTCGTGTCCTTAGCAGAGACACAGGTGTCGTAGCTGGCCAAATACATTGGAATAGTGCAGGTTTCATATTAATTGCTAGCTGATTAGACTAATTTGGGAGCTGTCGTAGCTGGCAAAATACATTGGAACAGCGTAGGTGTCAGAGAAATTCCTACGTTAGCAGAGAAACAGTAAAGAGAAAGAGAACTAGCACAGGAGGCATATATGATTGGTTAGAAGTTCTTGCCCCCGGGACTTCACCTTAAAATATCTATTTTGTGGCAGGCGTGGGTGTCGGAGATGAAGTGCAGATTTCGTGGCGCAGGGGGGGGGGTGGGGGGGGCGCAGCGCCCCCCGCAGCAGCACACCAGATCCAAAGGTTAGAAAGCAAACAAATGGAAAAGCAAAAACAAAAAGAGAAAGGAGAACAGCTGCCAAAGCAGAAAAGCAACAAAAGCAACGAGCTGAAAGACAAAAACACAAAAAGCAGAAAAGCAACAAAAACAAAAAAAACAAAAGCAGCAAAAGCGGAAAAGCAACAAAAGCAAAAAAGCAGCAAAAGCAACAAAAGCAGAAAAACATAAAACAGAATCAACAAAAAGAATGAACACATGAAGAAAAAAACGCCCCTCCATTCATATTCATATAGCGTCTCAGGAATTCTAAGCAGTGATACCCGTTCAATGAACACCAACTAAGCATTCCGCTGTGACACTTGATCCGCTGGTTTCCCACATCACATTGAAACTCAAAACTTGGCACATTTGGTGCCAGAGGTGAATGCTTCACCAACCCATGTGACAGAAAGATAAGAAAGAAAAATATATACATGCGAGTTCATTCTAAAGCATTCACCAGCGGCTATACTAAAGTCAGAAGGACAGATTCTGAACAAGAACAGGTCTCGGATTAGGCTGTCCAGTTCATTTTCCTTCATTCATCTTCAGTTATGTTTCTTCTCATGTCCTATCCCCTTTCTTCACCCTTCTCCACCTCAACCCCTCTGAGAATCTATGTTTGTCAAGTCCAAGTGGCACCAATTGACCCCGCCGAAGCCGCCGACGCCGAGGCCGAGCTGCAGCAACCCATGGCGCTCCCTGCGCGACTTGTCGCTCCCCCAACCAGGTCGGTTGAAAAGCTCCGACGACGCAGATGGACATGGAAGAAGCCCAATCCAAATCGAGGTCACACCTTCTTCTTCCGAACCAACCACATCCAACCACTGCTTTGTACAGTACAATATGTACCTCAGACTCTTTTGGTCTAGGTGATGGACTTTTCTGTCTTTTTCCATCAGGGCAATCCCTGCTCCGGTCTCGCAGCTATCGAACCAGAAGTAACAGCCAGTCGGATCCCATCGAAATCCAACGGAAAAGAACATTTGGATCCTTAAGATGTTATTTGAGATCTTTCATGAAGAAGCCTGTGCAAGATCTCGACCAGGTGAGGTCGGCAAAGATAGTGAAGCGATGTGCACCTGAACCCCTTTTTGCCACGAACATGTGTATGAAAAAGGCACGCACATGTGAGACATGCTTGGGGCATGCCGCACTTGCAGCATCAAGACCAGAAAACGACCCAAATTCACAGCAACCTCTTTCGTTAGGGGAATTAGTATAGTTCCTTGGCATTTCCAAGTCTCATCTTCCAACACCTCCAGCTGAACCTGTTGCAACTGAGACTTCTCAAATTTCATCTACCACAAAAATCGGAAAAATACTCCCTTCTGTGAGCCGAATCCAACGTGGACCTGTGCCCTGTGCCCCCCGACGACCGCCCGGGCGGGTCGACTGGCCACCGATCCAGGCCGGAGGCCAAGCCGCTGGAAGGGCGGCAGCGAAACCGGCAGGTCGGACGGAGCGGAGTTCCGCGGAAGAATTGCAGGCGCGGAGGACTACACTGAGGAGTCTTCAGAAAAGAGAAGTTCGGAGATGAGATGAGTTGTCTTTGTGATCTGACATGATACGACTAGACTAGTCTAGTTATAGCTAGGTAGAGGGGTTATCCCCCAAAAAGGGAAACCTGTTAGCTGGAAGTCATTCAGCTGCTGTATAAGAACTTATAAGAGACCAAATTGAAAGTTGAGACGATATCAGGGACAATCATTGTGACGTATGGTTGATCACGATCAAATGTGAGGTCGTTGATTTGTTGCATTTGCATTGAATACGGGGAGCCAACCCAAGGGATTCACTTCAAGTGATAGCATTATTCAAACAATCCAAGCAAACCAATACTTAGAGGACAACAAACACCTTCGAGAACACCAATCAAGAAAGTTCAGCTTGTGTCTTGCTTGCTAAAGCTCTACGTTTACTTTGACCCCAAGCGTGAAAGTAGAGATAAGTAGAGCTTTCTTAAGCGCGCTGACAAGCAGCATGGGGCACATGCAACGTGTAGTGTTGGGTGTGCACATCGGGATCTTTGTAGGCCTCTATGGCTTTACCGTTGAAATGAACTATGCAACGTTTACCTGGTACATTATCCTGTTTTTCTACCTACTTGACATCATGTTCCTTTCCGGTTCTGTTTTTGTTGCAATCGAATGGCATGGATGCATAGGTGTGCAAGTGTGTGAGTGTGTGTATGTGTGAGTGTGTGCCTTGGCTGTCTGTGTTTTGCTGCAACTGCAACTTGAGAAGAGCTGCTTATGCTGCGGCACAGATCCTGTCTGATGATTCTCCACGACATTTGCCTCTGTTGGATTGGTACCAAACCTGGAGATGAAGAATCAAATAAACCCTGCTGGTTATCTCAACTTGATTCACAGTTTGCGGACATGATGTGAAGGAACCTCCTTTCCAGAGCGCGTGATACCTCCAGGGAACTCGAACATTCAACACCATCCAACCCTTCAGGGTCCTGAAAAAAATCATGACGACACTGAGACTCACTTCGGCCAATCTGGGAACACCGCTTTTGCTTTATATAAGCTGAATTTTTTTCCGGAGCAACTCCGAGAAGTACTTGCACGCCACGAAATTCGAGAACAACTCGATGGGTGCACCAGGTGGGAGTCGTCTCGTTTTTCACTTGAGCTCGTTCCATCCATCGACGTAGCTCCTCTTTGGGCACGTCGTGTGGGTCGAAGAGGGTGACATCAACAGCGCTTTGGCCATCCACGCAGGATCTTGACATGGATGGCTCCGATGGCTCCTGCCAGGTTTGAAATTGCAACATCGCGGTTCATATGTTCTTAATATAGTTCTTCTCTGATTCTTATCTATGTTCCCTCTTCCTCTGGCGTTTGTTCTTCTTCACGTCTGTGTTCTGTCTTGCTTCTGGCAGCTTGGCAGGACCAGACCCAACCAACCTTCTTGAATTCAATCATGTGTCCACTTGGAATCCGTCCAAATCATCCTGCAACTGTGAAGGACATGGCAAGGTTCATCGCACCCGGGCAAAAATCCACCAGTGACTCCGGTGCTTCCGGTGATTCGGTGCTTCGGGAGCTTTGGGCAAGACGGATTGAGTTGATTGACATGAAACAAAAGCTTTCTGCTCGGAAAATACCACACAAAACACCTCTCTGTGTGTGTGCATCCCATGCATTTGGCACTGATTGCTGTGAGATGTCTCCTTCCGCCGCAGGTTCCTGCTCGTGCCCGCGCCGATGCCTGCAGGTGCTCGCACTCGCCACACACACCACAAGCTGAGCTGGGACAGTTGGATCAGCAGGACTTCGGGAAAGAATTCAACTCCAAACGTGCAAGGTTGGAGTTTTTTCAGAACTCAAAAATCACAGAGTTCCCTGCCAATTCACCATTCTGTTCGGCAACTGTGCAACTTTTGAGGACTCTCTCTGACTCTTCAGAATTACAGAAGCTACCGAAAATTACAGAAAACAACAGTGTGTAGTTTTGGCGTCTCTCTCCGGCCAAGCACCTCAGCTGAAAGCAGCCCAGGCTGTAGATCTTCGCCATCAAACAAAAGCTCCAGTGAGTGGCCAGGGGGGAGAAAGGGAGGAAGGCGCTCGAAGTGGGACGTCACCTGGCACTGCCAATCGCCGACTAAAGCCACTCATGGCCATGGAAAGTGCTATTGATATATACCTAAGGAGCCTAAGGAGAATTCTGTGAGATCAAAGGAGCAAAGTCTCTGTGATACCCTGTCTGTGCCGTTCTTTTTTGTTGGTGAACCACCTGTGGTATTTGGCAGCTTCAGCCGCACCCGCATCGTCCCGATGATGCAAACGACGTGGAAGGACCACTGACGTCCCTGACGTCCCTGACGGAAGTTGCGAAGAAGACCAAGCAACGAGTCGCCCTGTTTAGGTGAACCGAAGTGCCCCCCCCGGTATCGACCATTTCAGCCTGAACTGCTCTCAAAGGCGTCCGTTGCATTGGGGATGCCCTTTTCAACAGGGCGTTGCAAGGATGGTCATCGGGAGCCCAGACTTATCAAGAACAATATATAATTCAAAGAAGCTCAACACCCTGATGGCTTAGCGCAGCAAACCCATCTCAACTGGAAACCCCAGGCTTCCACTACCCTCGTTTGACATCGTTCTTCATTTTAGCATCCACCATGCACCGATCAGCTAAATCTCCCCAACAGAACCCAAAGTTGCACATGGATGACACCAGCAAAACTCCAGCTCAGGTCCCCATCTCAATCACGGCTTTTCACCCGCCCGAACGATCTCGGCTTTTCCGGCCACATTGGGCAGCTCCCCGCAGCTGCCTGGCTGCTCCGCTCGGTCCCCTCGGTGCCGAGAAGAAGCTGCTGCGCCCCAGCTGAGCGGCACTGAGCACGGCGGAAAGGATGGCTCAGCACCAGCGGTTCAGTTCAGTTCATCCGAAAGTCTCTTTAAAAACAGATGCAACAAGGCAATAGGGTTGGTATATGTCCAAAACAACATCCGCTCCAAGAGCGGAAGGGTCTTCGTTCTCAGATCTTGCCTTATAGGCCCTATAAGATGCATGATTTGTTTAAAGGCTTTACGGATTTACGTGGTGTACGGAGGTTCACACCCGACCCCCCCACACATGTTCATTGACTGGATGCAAGACACAAATCCAAAGATGTCTGTCTGACGGGGGTTTTCTCCTGCAGGATCAGATGTTTTGGTGGAGGGAGAATCCGGGTGTTCATACACAGATTCTTGGCATGAGCTCAACGAACCATGTACAGTTGATCCCAAAAAACGATATCGAAACAAATATATCGGATATGGCCATGAAGGGGGAAAATCATGGAGCAATCCACTTATGGATCTTATGGGACGCCTCAAACCAAACAGCTTCGAGCTGCCAACTCTCTCACAGACGTGAGTGGCCTCATGAGGGTTGGAATCGATTGCTTCTGCAAATTGCACACTGGCTCTGGACTCTCCAGAGTCAAAGCTCGGCTCCAACGAACACATCGCAACGGCTCCTGAGCATCGGACAACGCCCCCCCCGGCACCAGCTTTCAACACATGGCAGTGGGTCAAAACTGGGGGCGGTTTTTCCCACCCAAAATGAATAGAGGGCCATGACCCACAGCCCCATGTTGCTTCTCCAGGTGCGAAGCCCGGTTCGACGTTTCGACCAGCCAGTCAGATCGGTCCGGAATCGGTCCGTGGAAGAGGAAAGAATTCAGACCTATATGGCCCTCACCAGCCATCGCCTGGGCCGACGTGGTGAAGAGGTGGCGAAGAGGTCGCATGGACCTTTGGGGAAGCGATTTTCTCTTATCGAATTTTGGATTTCATGAACAGTCCATGAAAAAGCTCAGATGTCTTGCAGCCGAAACAATTCGTGCTTTGGGGTTGCAATCCTATTGGTCAACACACTTGAAACACCAACACCCAAAAAGCTGAACATCTCCAAGGTCCAGGTCCTGACCTTTTGAGATCTCCCAGTGTTTTTGAATGTTTTTCACATTCCTCCCAACCCAAGGTGGCTTTAAGCTGCCAAGACTCTTGGCGACGTAGTCAGCTATCTTCGGCAGGAATCCTGGGACTCCTGCTTTGCCGTACGGCCACCCAAGAGCTTTCCAACTCCAGCAAATGCACGTGTATCGTGCATCAGGGTGAAAAGAACAACACCGCGAGAAGGATGGCAGGGACAGGACACTTGGGAGGACAACCTGAAAAAAGACGCACCTTCCAAGTGATTATGGGAATTGATAGACCCATGTTGCCTTGCGCGTCTATTGATCCGACGGCCTCCTTAAGAGACTCTGAGGCCCCTCAGGAGGTGAGACACCGAGAAAACCGTCCAGGTGTGCGTCTCAAATGAATTGACAGTGTTCGATATGACCAGACCCTGATTAAAGATGTGTTTTTTACACGTTTTTAGGCCTGATACCGGGAACCCGGTATGAGCTGGTAATGCATTGAGACCCAAAGCAGTCACCCGTTGGGAACCACTCAGTGTACCTCCGGTCCCGGCAGTCACCGACCCGATCGACCAGACGGCCTGCGCGAGCGACGCGGTGTCCACCGGTGCCCTCAGCCGCACCAGCAGGCGCAGTGTTCTAGAACAAAACAGACTAGGTAGACTTGAGAGAAGGGAGGGATTAGCCATCATTTCAAGTTCTTACTTGGCTGGTTGAAAGTGGTTGAAAGGTCACAGCTTTTGGATGCAAATGTTGTTTGTGCCGCCTCCACCGAGGCTGGATCGAATCACCGGACTGCACCGCATACCTTTGGCCAGTCTGGTTGGAAAGAATAATAGAGGTTTGCTTCTCTTCCCCGCTGCTGTCGCTGAAAATCACTCCACGAAACAAACGCGGTAAGAAGGGTTGACCTTTTGGCAGCGAAGAAACACCAACCTTTGGAGACCTCCAAATTGGCTGCGCAAAGGCTTCCGGCGATTCTGGCCGCAGATTTGAAGCTGCGAAACTCAGCGGAATGGGAGATCCCTTCACCCTCCGAAGCCCCCCATGTGTACAGCGCCTTGCGACCCATCTAGCTCATAGCAGGTACGAACTAAGTGGAGTGAAGTTAGAATAAGTACACTGAAGTTAGAAACACGCTGCTGAAGGTGCTCTTGGTGGAAGAAATCACGTAAAGCCTGCTGCCGACCAAGTCGCGCTCCGGATAGCGGGTAACTAAGGTCGTTTATGACGGTCGTAGCGTCGTCGCCACCTGCATTTTCCAAGCTCCTGGGCGGAAAGGAGCAAAGTCTTTGATCCTTCGGTGTTGTCGACCAACCCAAACATGAGTGGTCAAGCTTTGTCTTTTTCAGATTATGTTCGTCATCCAACCGGTCGTCTTTTTTAAAGAGAATCAGCAGCGCCAACCAGTCCTTTCAGTCCACAACATCCCCCAAAAGCACCTGAAGCGGTCTTTGATTCACCAGGTATAAAACCCCGCTCCCCAACACCGCCTACATACTTGCGTCGATGCAATGCGGGAAGTCGATGGAGTGACTGGTGGAGTGCCCTCCATCCGCGTCATCCCCGTCTCGCCGAGTCCATCCATGTCACGGGCGCGGCGAACCGACTCCGTGCGCTTCGGCTTCGCCTTCATCGCGCCTGAGTGCAGAATGCCAGCTCTTAGGAGTAGTGCACGAATTCCAATATCCCAAAAAATCCCAAAAGGCATGAGAGGACTCTTCCCAACTCAGGGCAAACCTTCATTCTGCATCAGTTCTTGCAGCGAGTGTTTCACACCATCATCCTGAAAGCCAGCACTGATTGCCACCAAGGCGCGGCCAAGACTACTGCAGAAGGCGACGCATGTCGCCCCCTATCCCTTCTGCGGGCTCAGTGCAATTCAAACCCACATGACCCTTACAGCTGAGCCCAAACCGCAGCAGTGGAGCGTTCACGAGGAGTCAGGGGAGCGTGCAGTTGAGTGAGCTGCTCACGTGACTGGGTGGGAGGTTGGGAGAACTGAGTCTAAGGGGTTTGTAAATTCAGTAGTTTTTGCTACAAGCCAGGAGGATCCAAGAAGTAGCTCGTACCAACAAGTAGTTGACCAAATGGCGGTACTGCTTCAACGAACCAAGTTTAAACATGAGTAGACGGACAAAGGTGGAGAATCCTGCGCAAAATCAAGAAAAGTTACCCCATGGCGGTCGAACAGAGTGGAAGAGAAACGTTGGAGGCAGAAGTGGAGCGGGTTTGGTTCCAAGATGTTGGTTCCTTCCTCTTGTTTCTCATCGGACAGTCCCATGTGTTCATCCAGTTGCTGTCGAGAGTGGATGATTGTGGGGTGGCAATAGATTGGAACGTTTGGAATGATGTGGAGAAACAGTTGCCGCAAAAGTTTACATGCTGCCATGTTCAGAATGCAGGATGCCATTCTCAAGCCATACATCATACAGGAACATCTCAACCCACTCCCCCGAGGATTCGAGGATCTTTTCACTCAAGCCAAGCTCTTTCGTTCCTCCAACGACTTAGTTCGTCTTTGGATGCCGTTGGACTGCAATGATGGTGACACACACAGCGCCTTGGCCATGAGTTGATCTTGGCCAAGAGCTCGATGCTGCCTGGAGCGGATTCCTTCTTTGTGGTGTGACGTGTCCTATTGTTGTTGTGGCAGCTTTAGAAAGAGCAGGGAAATCAAAAGCACTGCCACGACATGCAGCGATACACACATTCTATCAATGTAAATAGGATGGTATAGACAGCATGAGAATCCTCACTTTGCCTGCGTGAAGCATCAGGAACCATTGCAAAGCATTTGCCAAAAATGGCAAGTTGATCACAAGAAATCACAAGAGTTCCCTGCGAAGGATCGGTCCCCCACCCTGAAGCACCTCAGCCTGATCGCCCGTGTTCATGCCGGAAGCGCTCCAGGTTTTTGCGACTACCTCGGGTCTCCTCGTGGTCTGGGCCGTGAAGCTCCTGCGATGAGTTTTGCCGCAGAAACAGGGTTTCATAGAATTTGTGGACGGTGAGTTGTTTGCTCAAACGGTAGGGGGTATAGAGGTGCACCTCGAAAACGACCAAGTCTCTGACAACAAGACTAAGACGATACCTCTTGACTCTTTTTCAGTATACGTTGTCGAGTAAGCGTGCACCGCACCATGAAACTCTGAAAACTTTTGTGAGAAATGAGTTGAGCGACAAATTGTCATTGATGCTCATTGAGCACTCGATCTGCGGAGTGCATGGCATCCTTTCAGCGTCTTTCGATTGTCGGGTTGTCCTCCATGCCGTTCAACTCTCTGATGAAAAGCTCTTCAGCCTGGACAATCGGCTCTCTAATTCCCGAAGCTTCAAGCTCGGGCATGATACAACTTAGCCAGTGGGTACGTCCGCTAGCATCATGGTAGGCAATCAAAGAGAAAGCTCCAAGTTCCCAAACGTCCTTTTTCATCCTTTTCCAAGGGTTCGCATTGAGCGAAAACGGCCATTCACCCTTGAATAAGGTCTTAATTTAGTTCTGAATACTTGCTATTACCATTTGAAAGGTCTTGGCCTGAGGTCTCGGCTACGACGCCTTGAGTCTCCAATGTCTTTAACTGTCATGGAACCCCATGATGACTCCAGATTCATTGTATCCAAAAGAACTCACCACTTAAACCCAACAACCGTTCCACCGCCCATCCGCGGAAGGTCCTCCCCTTCAGACCATTCCTCCCCAGCGCCTCGGCGATGGAGCCGGTCGCCTCCAAGAGCTCGGCCAGGCGATGGACGCTGATCAACGTGTGCGGATGCCCGGCTCCGAGGCGCGCCTCGCGACCCGCCAGGGCTCTCCGCAACAATGCCTCCGCGTCGGCGAAGTTCTTCTGTTTAAAGAGGACACCCGCCAAATTGTTGACCCAGGTCAGGGTGTCTGGGTGTGTGCGCCCGAGCTGTGCTTCGCCCCCGTCAAGAGCTCTTCGGTAAAGCTCTTCGGCTTCCTGCAGCTTGCCTTGGGCTTCGAGAAGCGTGGCTAGGTTGTTGATGGAAATCAAGGTCTCTGGATGTGTTTCTCCAAGAAGAGCCTCCCTTCCCTCCATGCATTTCCGGGCGAAGGGCTCTGCTTCATCCAAATTGCCCTGATCCTGCAGCACGAGTGCCAGGCTGGTCAATGACACTAAGGTGTCTCGATGCTTCGTGCCCGCCAGGACCCGGCGCTGCAGCGCCTCCGCCTCGGCCAATTGGCCTTGAAGCCTCAGCACATCCGCCAAGTTCGCCACGGACACCAGCGTCTCCAAATGCGCATCTCCCAGGACACGTTCCTTCGCCTTCACCGCCCTGCGGTACAAGTCTTCCGCTTCCTTCCACTGGCCGCGGCGATGCAAGACCAGCGCCAGATTGTTCTGCGCACTGAGCGTGTTCCGATCCTCGGGACCCAACTGCGCTTCGCACGCCGCCAGGATCCGCCGCCGCAGCGTCTCCGCCTCGGCCAGGGCGCCGCGCCACTCCAGCACCTTCGCGAGCCTCACGGAGTCGAGGTCCAAGGATCGGTTGGAATGGAAAATGGACCTTTTTGGATGAAGAAATCGTTTTTGTGATATCATATTAATTCGATCTGTAATATGTTGATCTGTTATTTGATTTAGATCTGTAATAATCGGATTGTCTTTAGACATGTCATTGAAATCTGACAAAAACAAAAGATGCAAAGCCATTCTCTGAATTTCCAGCACATATTGCATCTGCAGCAGTCAGTATACTATACAAATTGCCTGCGAATATTTCTGAAAAGGCCGAGGACGTGACCGGCTTAATGCCAAAAGGGTTTCAGCATGCTCTGAGCCCAGGTGGGTGGTGATGGCTTCGGCGCGGCAGCGGAGCCTGGGCCACTCACAACTCGTTCACCAATCTTCTATCAACACGAGCGCTCCAGAGTGTGCGTTATCAATCAGATTCACAGTCTAATGAGGAGTTCATTTCTGAATACTCTGGGTTGTGGTGATTGCCCAAGCCGTACTCGAATACTCACTTCTGTGACATCAATTAGCTCTACTCTACGGCCATTCAATTTGGGAGAGCGGTTCAAGCCTAAACCTACAACAGTGTCCCAAAGACAAACAAACAGCAAAGTCAATGGTTGTGGGGTGGCGTTCGCCACTCTTCAAGTCAAATAGTATCGTATTCTGGTATTCCTTGCATGCCCTGAAAATTGTGAAAAGCTTGCAGCAAGCCACGCACAGGTGCAAGGCCATAGTTGCTAGTGCTTAAAATGCTTAAAACGACGTGTTCACAAAGCTCACTGCCCATCCGGGCACCAAGCATGAGAGACACACAAAGGTTGACTGCAATTGCCTGGTCCAATGTGCCAGCAAACAAGCACTGACAAGCCCAGAACAGAAGGTCAAAAACTGGGTAAGAAGTCGCCTTGATGATGTCGAAAGACAAAAAAAACTAAGGTTTTACTATTTACTATATTATCAGCAAACAAGCGTCGTTTCCACCAGCACTGCTCTAGCATGGCCGACCTTCTCCTGAGCAAGCAGCAAAATGCCCTTGTACTTATACTATAGTTTAGAACGATAGTTTTTGCCGTTGCGCCACACCGTTTTCATGGTATTGCAGCGCGCCCTTGCATCTACAGTAATTAATGCCTGGCATGAACACATGCGAAATCAGCATTGTGGATCTGCAGCTTCAACTTGAAGCTACGCAACACTGTATATACGTGCATTCCAGAAGTTGCGAATGCCCGACTGCTTTTTGACTGCGAGCCATTATCGTTCCAACACCCCCTACCCAGAGACGCAAAAACCATCTCAACACATGTGCAACACTGCCAGAACTGCCTAATTGCTTTTGAAGCTTGGCATGACATATAGCTTGCTTGATAAACTGTTGAATTGAAATTCTGGAGTTGTTGTCCCAACTAAACTTCCATGATAATCTGTTTCAAAGTCTGCTCGCCTCCTGTTGTACTCGGACAACTATGCATTCTCTTGGCGGCATTCCAGGTTCATTCAGCAGCTTGCCAGCCAGATTCCTTGGCCAGCTGTAGATCATGGTCTAAATTTGGATATGGAAGTTCGTTTAATGGTGCAAAAGTGAACTTGGTGCGCTGCACTCCGATCGGCCTGCCCTGTGCGGAAGACAAGCAGCAAAACGCACGAGCACAAAGATAGTTTCACACAGTTGCAAACTAAATACACAAGCCATGGCAAATCCAATTCGAGCCTTCTCAACCATTTCCGGCGTCTGTCGTTTTGAGACATCATACGCGCAGCTTGCATCCACCAACATGGGGATGCAATAGGCAACTCTGGAGTGATATTCCTTCAAGAATCTCAAAGGGAATCGGCCCCGGTCTGTCCAACAAGGCTAGGCTAGGCTTGCATGCACGAAAGAAATGTGAACACTGCATGCTACATACTTCATCATCTTCAAACAGCAAACATCAAGAAAAATCACAAATTGTACGCAAAGCTCTCCTCTACCGTTGCCTCGCGGCCTTTCAGTTCGATGTCACGCTTCATCATGTTTCTGTAATTATTATCGAGCAGGGTCTCGATGTTGGGCCATTGATTCGGTGCTTTCCGAACCTCAATCGCCCCACAACACGCAACACGTAACGCTGCAGTTCTGGTGTGTTAGGGGAAATGCAGTGCGGACAGCATGGCTGTATCGGCCCAGGCAGGACCTGCATATATATAGTTTCCCCTCTGAGATTTGCATTCATCGAAGTGTGACACCCGCGTCGGGGTGCCCGAGCAACTGAGTTCTGTACGGAGTAGACACCTGTCATTGCTGTGTCAAACCGTGTGTCTCACAATGACAGTAGTAGGACAGTGCCAAAACCGATGCGCTCTGCTCTACACATGCAAGTGATACACTACCCACCATGGCCAAACATGTTGAAATGAATACATGCCCAGCAAAACGCCGGCTCCTGAGAGATGCAATGACATCAATAAACATCAATAAACTACGAATGCTGTTCGTATTCTGGAACTTTTTGTTGCCATTTCCAAGATCCAGTCTGAGAAAAGACTGACATGCCAATAGCAGCCCTTGCCTCGGCCCCACCAGGCATTGGCCTTTTCACCCTCTGTGACCAAAGATGCCTGCAAAGGCACGGATGCAATGGAGCTGACTCACTGTGAAGAACTGAATTCAAACAGTGTAATGACATTGAACTCTGAGAGAAACACGAAGACTTCCACCAATTCTTTGCTTTCGTTGGTGATGTTGTGAAAGCCGAGCTCCGTGGTGTAGTGGAAAAAGCATTCTACGTCACCAGCACCACCAGCACCACCAGCACCAGCTTGCGTCAGATCCTGAGATGTCAAAAGGCAGGGATCAGGCAGAGGTCTGCCATGTTTCTTGGCCCGCCAGGCCTTTGGGCCTATAGCCGCTATACTATAGCCTGTCACAAACAAGGAAAACCACGTGATCGGGGGGGCCATTTGTCCCAAAGAGTCTTTTTCCAAAGGCTCTGAAAACTGAAATTAGAAAGCACTGCAGGTGTCAACTCTAACTCGTTTGCCTGTATAGACATCACAAAGCTTGTCCCTTACGTCAAATACAAAATGCAACAACATGCTTGTGCAACAACTTAGGTCGGGTCAAGCGCATCTTGCCAGACCTGCAAGAATCTGCTACGAGCTACCGGTGCAGCTCAAGTTCGCAACTGTGAAAAGGTGTGACGAGGCGTTACACAAACCCTCACATTGATGGCACCTTGATGTTAGACCCCTTGTGGAGCCAGCACCAGTCAGCCGCATCGTGTTCATACTCCTCGTGATAGAACACACCACCTTCCTTGTAAGCCTTCTCGAAGTAGCGCTTCAGGCTGGCCTGGCAAAAGGGCAGTGAGGTACTTGTACACATGGCAAAATCTTTAAGCGCAGACGGCGTCAAACGTGTCAGGTAAGTCCGTGGAAGCAAGAGAGCTTGTTAAACACTAACAAATTTACTATCATTCTATGATTCTATGACATTCTATGGCGGCCTCTCAAACAAACAACATGTTATCTGTTATCGCTTCAGGATCCTGGGTCCCTATGCCTTATTCCACTGCCTTCAGTGTTCTTCAAGCCCCGTCTGAAACACAAACCCCCGTCCTGAGTCAAGACACCAGGGATGTTCTCGAACTCATGCCCGGGGTGGATCGAGTCACGATTTGCATGGCAAATGTGACAAAGATCGTAGTCCGCACATGTCGTGCACTTGTATCTCTTGCCAATCAGGGGATCTGCTTCACAACCATCGCACATGACGGTAGGGTGAATCTCCAAGGCTTGCTCCTCCTCCTCTTCCTCCTTTTTGCAATTTTGCACCTCCTTTTGCACCTGGGAAGATGTCCGGAAGTTCCGGTCCAGAAGAGTGATGCAGGAGCGAGGCGAAGACACATGTGTCAATCCCCTACATGGCCACACTACAAGCAAAAGACCTATGAGACCTCCACACACATTTGGATAGAATTGGAAAAGGCGGTGGATGAAACAATTCCTACCGATTGCTGCCAAGGGCCAAACAAAAAGAGTCTGTTTTGCCCATCGAAATTGCAAAATATTGCAAAATATTGCAAATCTTCAAAATGACTTGCCCTAAATCGATCGAAGCAATTGGCAATTAGTGCAGTCCCACCCACTGGTGCAAATACTCAGGTGATATTCAATTAGAGTTCAAATCAAGTCTGCTCGAACTATGTCAGGCAAGTCGGGCAACTATAGGAGCAAGAATGAGCAAAGGACACTGTTCGGCGACTCGCAGGAGCAAGTGGCCACCAGTCTTCGTCAACAACACCACCATTTCTTGGCTCTTCCAAACCGGGTCCCAATGGCCTCAGACATACGTCCTGAAAAGTATGAGGTTTGAAGCAGCACTAACTCGCTAAAAGGTGGTGGAGTCTTGAATTAGCCGGTAGCCGGTATAAGCCTGGCACATGAGAAGACACTCTCAGCGTGTCCTAGAGGCCTGACATGGCCTGACAAAACCTGCATGATTGGATAGGATCCACAAGTCTTGTGGGGGAGCAGGAGATGAATCAGTAGGTTTCTGCTTGGCACATTAAAAATGACGAGCTTTTGACACGGGTGAAGTGGTGAGGTTTAACAGCAGACTTCTACAATCGTCAAACCTTCAATACACCTCAGAAAAGCATCGGTTTTCGCGACAAGGAAGCTTCTGTGGGCGCTTCTGGGCACTCACTTTTCCGGGCACCTCTGGAGTGCTGAAGAGAATGTCCAAGAAGTCCTTCACACCTCAAGAGTTGCACAACTCCCATGACTCCGGTGGTCAGCAAACCCACATGCTTCTCTCTCCAAACAAAGCATAGGAAAACTTTGCATGGTGTTGAACAGAAGATGCATCCGTATGGAGCTCTCTCCGGATCACAGTCGCAGTGACAGGCGCCGCCAAGCGACAAATCCATGAGTCTTCTGGGTACTCCTCCAACATCAGCAATGCTAGGCAGTGCTCAGTTGCGGAAGGATCTCGATACTCAGTGGAAACCATGTGCAAACCATGTACCAACTACCAACATTACCCAACCCAACTATACTGACCATGAGCAATCGGAAACATTCTATGAAGTTGTTCTTCCTAAATCGAAGCCTTCGGCGTCAACTGTTTTCAATAGGCCACGTTTGACGAGTGTCCCGCAGGGTGAAACGCTCCTTGAGAAGGACATTGGCCTCCTGCAAGGTACCACCAATACTCTGAAGCACTTCGATGTAGCCTCAGTCTTCGATCAGTTTGACGGACAAATCGCTCAGATCCCCCAGCCGAGCTACAATTTAACCGTATCTGCTGTTGGCAACATCCATGAACACATATAACCAAGAAATGGACGCAACCTCCTGTGCTGGTTTAGCGTAGTTGCCGGGGTTACGGGGTTAATCCGAGGCATCTGCGCAGTAAAAACGGTAAAAATCGAAAATTGTCGGTTTTTACCGTTTTTACCGGGGGCGCCCCTTTTTCTTCTACCATATCCGCGGTAAAAACGGTAAAATCGAAAAAACCATATCCTTTTTGTTTAACGTTTTTACCAGGGGGGCGCTCCTTTTTCTTTTACCATATCCGCAGTAAAAACTGCAAAAATCGATTATTTTTTACCGTGTTTACCGGGGGGCGCTTCCTTTTTCAATACCATATCCGCGATCAAAACGGCAAAAATTAATTGTTACTTCTTTTTGTACCCGTCTTGATCGAGGGGGGCAAACCGGTCTATGTGTTTTTCAGTTTTTAACGGGGGGTCACCGCTGTTTCTTCTGCCATATCCGCGGTAGGTAAAAATCGAAAGTTTTCGATCCAAGTGATGTAGGCTTTCATTGCCCTGCAAAAGTTTAAAGTCATGAAATTTTGATCAATCACCAAACTCCTCTTGTCGAAAAGGGCACACGCTCCTATATGATAGGAGGAGTGAACCCCACCTGGCTATGGGAAGATACCCGGGCTGTAACATTAAACCTTTTTGTTGACAGAGGTGTTCTAGCTTGCGACCTGGTCCCGAGGCATTCTCGCGGTAAAAGACGGTCCAAAGTGAAAATTACTACTTTTGTTGTTTACCTTTTTTAAGGAAGAGTCGCTTGCTCTTTTTGCTTCTACCATATCGTTAAAAATCAAAGTTGTGTTATTCTCCGTTTTTGTAGGTGGACTTGTCCTTTTCTTTTCTACCATCTCCGTGGCAAAAACGGTAAGAATAAGTGTATTAATCTTTATTACTGGGGGGCGCTCCATGTTTAAATTTCATATCCGCGGTAAAAGGGTAAACATCGAAAAAAAATCTTCTTTTACCGTTTTTACCGGGGGGGCGCCCCTTTTTCTCTACGATATCCGCGGCAAAAACGGTAAAAATCAAACATTTCATTGTTTAACCGTTTTTACCGGGGGCGCGCTCCTTTTTCTTCTACCATATCCGCGGTAAAAACGGTAAAAATCGAAAATATTATTTTGTTTACCCTTTTTTTCCTGCGGGGTCACGAAAGGATACCCCTTAGCAAAACAACGCTCGCGAACCAGCTTAGCAAACTCCACCCAAAAAGTCTGCAGTTGTCCAAGCAATCCCAATGTGTACGTTAGGGTACGTTAATTATAGATTCGTACCAAATGATTTCAACAAATGCAGAATCCCAAGACATCCCAAGACCAAGACATCCAAAGCAAGATGCTCATTATCCAAATATTTGAGGCGTACACAAAAAAACAAAAAATATCACTTCTATCTCAGGACCTCCTCTCCGACGCTCCCAGCTTCACCAGGGTCCCAGGAGCTCTGCCGCTCCAAAGAGTCGGACTCTCCCAGCTTCGAGGTGAAGATCGCCTCGACCTGGCGCCGCAAGTCCTTGGCTCCGCTGGGCTCGACGCCAAAAACCGTGGTTTGGCAACGCTTTTATCGTCAGGTCCAAAGAAGGAGGTGAGGGTCCTCGGTGTCCTCCTCTTGTTTCGGAGTTGTATAGAGTTTTCTTTGGTATGGGATTTGGGGCGTTGTTTATAGTAAGGGAGATGAGTTTGGAGTTCGGGCTGCCGGTCATTTGTTGTAATCTTGTCAATGTGGCATGACTCAGCCCATTGGCATCAGCCCTGGTTCTTGCCGACAATCATTTTCGAGGTTCATCTGCACAGTTCCGTTCTTTTTGACAGCATGCAGCATTTTGGTATAACTGTGCTTAACAACTTCAGAGCCTCTTACCCTACGGGACTATGGATGCCCGTGGCGTCTTGCTTCCAGGCAGCTGTCATGCTTTCCACACTGCTTCCAGCGCCTCTCGCAATACAAAAGTCACATCAAACATCACCAAACGACACGTCGAGTCAAAACAACAGCCTTCCTGGCCAAACCCTCCGCATGAAGAAAAGTCTCCAAAGCGCTTCACCCAATTTCATAGAATTTCATCCATCCTGAGTCATTTTGGATGATCCCTTGAAGCTTTCATTCCTCAAAAGCCTCGCACCGAAACCCTCTGCCACCAACTCCCTACGACCTCCCCGACGACTCCGCTCCACCGACGACCTCCCCTCCCCACGTCACTCTTCGGACGTTCCGGTGGACCGTGGTCAACGACCGGAACGTCGAGGAGCCCAAAAAACGGAGCTTTGAGAAGAAACGAGTCGGGTTTTTACACAAGTTTGACCGCTTTCCTCAAGGCGTTGGAGTGAAGCTCCCTTCCAAAACGCCGCCAAACCACCCAAAACTGCTGAGCTCGCAGCTCGCCTCAACAAGTCACCGAAGAGTCGCATTACACCGACTGTGCCTGCGTTCGCGCCGGAGGGCGGAACGGCGCGCCTCTCTGAGTTCCTCCCGCTGCGGTGCTGACGCCGGACGTCGAGTCTCCTCAGCGTGGGAGAAAGGACCAGCTGGGGCGGCCATCTGATGTGGACTGATGCTATCTGAGTCTGAGGTCAGCAGCATGTCTTTACTAAATGAACTGAGAAAGGTCAACATCCTTTGGAGTTTTGGAGCATGTTGGAGCAAAGCTTTGCTGTTTTTTGTTGCTGTTGAAAGAGAAGTTACAGCTGAAGAGTGGCAAGTTCCCAGTGGCCGCGAGCGGCTGTCATCTGGAAGATCACACCAGTCTGCCTCAAAGTTCTGCCAAGCCGCGATGGCCCCCAAATGCCGCATCCTCCAAACTTGGAGCTTGAGACTTGAGATGTCTTTAAGCAAGAATGTCCACAGGGCCCCATGCACATCCCTGCACAAATAATGAGCCTTCCAACAAAAGTACAAAAGGGTGCACTCATCGTCCACTCAGCAAGTGCATCTGCTTAAAAGGGGAATCCTTTCATCATCGTCCCTCGGTGCCTCTGTGGCCACCACTGAGCTGAACTCCAGCGCCGAGCTGCCGCTGCTCATTGCCTCGCAGGCCCTGCGAAGCGCGCCGCGTGGGGAAACCGCCTTCAGTATGTTGAAGCAAAGGTGGAGTGACCTCATACGCTCTGAGGGATGACCTAATAGCATGGTGCTTATTCTTGCAAGTTTTGAGAGAACCATGCCTTTTTGAAACAACAGTTAAAGGAATTGTATTTGCCATCAAAGGGGAGGTTTCTTGCGCTTGTCAGCATCCACAGAGTCCAAACATGTAGAACCCCGTTCAAATTCAGCCGAAGATCGCAATCAGGTCCCACCCTGTGGGCAAATGTGGTGAACTTAACTCTTTCTTCTACAGTCCTGGACCATGTCGCTGTAGACCGTAGACCCGAAGTCGACCAAGATTGACCAGCAACGCCATCTTTCGTGAGGGGAAATGGCTATCGCAGGCACCCCGGGCCACATCCATCCACGGCTCTTTACATACCCGGAAGTCTCCCCCATTGCACCCAAAAACACCTCGTGATGCCTCGCCGTCGGCGTCACCGGACCCGCCCCCACTGCACCGGCGCACGGTCCGCAGGTCCGCAGGGAGCAGAGATCGGTTCCACGGAGCAGCGATGATGGCGCGCGGGCGGGTGGCGCAAACGATGAGAGGAGCGGTGACCGGTGTGGTGTGGAGAAAGATGTGATTTTGCATGAGATGCGTTTTCTTTGACTATTAGCTTTAGAATGCTTAAGATTGGGGGATTTTCCCCCCAAAGGGAGACCTGCTAGCTGTATATAATTGTTTTTGGAGTCTTACACTGTCAGGACATGTGGATCTATGATTCTCGACGTTTGACATAATATGGTTGATCGCGATAAAATTGCGGTGATCATTGATCCTTTGAATTTGCCTTCGAAGAAGAGGGAACCGCCACACCGAAGGATCCACTTAATATGCTGCATATATCCCCTATACTTTCAGATTCTCCAAGCCAGCCACGTCACGTTTTGTGGAAGATTCATCTGGTACATTGTTCTGTTATTGCACATACTTGCATCAGAGTCCTGCGGTCTATATATATAACCTGCCTGGCAAAGCGGCGGTGGATGTTTGGCACTTATCACGTCGTGAATGGCATAGAATTGTAAGTGTAAGCGATGTAGAGGTGTCTGTGTGTGCCTTGTGGGTGTTGCTGCAACTGCAACTTGAGAAGGGCTGCTGATGCTGCGGCGGGCATCGTGTTCAGATGTAGGAGCGCAACATGAAAGAACTTCAACCTTCAAACCCAACAAAGCATATAACTATATATTAAAGACTTCTCAAGCCAAATCAGGCTAAGTAGAGACCCAGGCTGTGGAAAAGAAGCATGTCCAAGCTGCTGAGGCATTCCTTCCACCGATTCGGAACATGAGTTGGAGCTGTGCTGCGTCTACTAATTCAAAAGACTGAGACTCTACTAGACCAAATTCACAAGCACTGCGAGATGCCACGAAAACCAGACCGAGAACAAGTCTCCAATAAGTCCAGCAGGTGGGAAATCGCCGACACTTTTGTCACTCGAACTCGTTAACTCCATCGACATAGCTCGTCTTTGGGCTTGGTCGAAGAGGGTGAGACGAAGAGCGACATTTGATCACCTACGATGCTCTGCCATGACATCGAAGATTCCTGCCAAAATTGAACATGCAACATCGTGTTTCAGAACTGTGTTCTTATGTAGTTCTTCTTGTCTACAGTCCGTCTTCCTTTGGCGGCCTGGAATGAAATTGCATGCTCGACAGAAAAAAACATTCAGTCAACGTAGAATCTCATCTCTCAATAGGACGGGACCCTCAATGAAACAATATGAAACAGAACGTAGCCACGGGAATTCAATCATTTGTATCCATGTTGAACCCTATTGTTGTTTCAATCAAAGCTACAATCGCAAGAAGGTACAGTATCTTTAACCAAAATTCGATGACACTGAAACCGGTCAGAAGAACAAACAGAAACACCTCCGGCAGCATGAACAGCAAAAAGCGCAAATCGATGTGCCGCGCCAGTGAAGTCAAAAGACCTATTGACACCAAACAGCCATGAACTTCACATCGTCACGGATCGTAGTACGCATCTACTCGTGCCAATCAAAATGCTCTCCTTCCCAGCCGTTCGCCGTGCTGGGGCACTGGGTGCGTACCCGGTGCCTGTCGTGCTGCCGCACATGACCAGCGGGAACAAGGGGATTGGAAGAGCTACAAGAAAGAACTCCGAGGTTAATGAAGTTTTATTGTGTTTTACTTGGTCATGAATCCTCATGAACCACAGAGTTCCCCAATGTGTCCCGCGCTTTTATCAACAGGATCTACAGTTCCCGGGTTCGTCGCCTCTCCCGCCATTTCGGTTTCTGCCCTGCTCGGCACCTCAAGGCGTTTGTGGTGGACGCGGCGGACGTGGTGTTGGCCATGGAAGGGCTCCTGCAGCGGCTCTGCAGCAGAGCACAGGTGGGAGGAAGGGAGGAAAAGGAAAGGCACCGGAAGTGTTGTGACAGCACACATTGACATCGCGGCCACTTGTGGCCTAATAGACTGAGTGCTATTGGATGCTATTGATATATAATAGTCCAAGCAGGATCCTGTGAGATCACCAGCCACTGTGTGATCTCCTGGGGTGCCATCTGGGACGATCCCACTCCGTCTCCGCATGACCTGCCGAAAATGGAACGACCCGTCACCGGGCATCAGCCGCCGCTCGGCTCCTCGGCCCATGGGTCTCTCGGTCAGCTGAGAGAGACCATCCGTCGGTGCCTCGGAGAAAGACAGACCGCCCCCTTTCAAGGCCAATTCTGCGCAGCGAAGTCTTCAGAAATGTGTCGGAACTCCCCAACAGCTGACCACCATGATTCTTTGTTGGATGCTTTTTGGAGTGGTTTCCTTCGCCGCTGCCCTCCCTCCTGCCTCAGTAGGAACCAGAACAAAAAGGGACATGACCCAGCGGACAGAAGGTGAACAAAAAATCGACACCCCACCAACTACGACATCAATCGACATCAAGATCAAGCCAGCTTCAATCTCTGCAAGTTGCCCCCGTTCAGGTGGCGTATTGCAATGGTCGGTCTTGACCAAAATAGGGCGAGAGTCTCAGAGTGTGGGAACACCACTAAGCAATCGAGAAACCGTTGAGGAAATGAAATCAGTCCCATGATCCCTTGTAGGACCGCTGTGAAGTATCAACCCCCCCTCTCAGTTCCCCAATGGTGTTCTTGGAGAGCCAGTTTTTGGATGCCTGTCTGGAAGATCCGAGCCCTGAGAAAACGGGTGGCTAAACCAAACTGGCCCGTTACCTGTAACAGTGGATGATGATGGTTAGTAAAGGCCTTGTTCCAAAATGATGATAATTGTTTACTGACTGTTACAGGTATTAGGACAGACCCTAGGTATGCTTTATCATGAACCCATGATACACTCGTCCATTTACCCAAATCATGCCAAAATCCTTGGTGATGGTGGGCAAGCCTGAAATCAAGATGAATCATATCCAACAAACACAAAACGCAAAAAAAAAGCCGATTCCACTTCTTCGATTCCGCCACCCTTGATGCCTTGCGCGAGCGAATGCGACTCCCTATAGCTGCACCTTGGCCAAGTGTTCACCGGCGAGAACCGCGCTCAGATGATCGATGAAGTTGATAAAGCACATGTCACAGTGACGCCAGTGGCACAGAGGCACAGTGTCGGAGAAAAGCATAGACCAGGTAAGTGAAGGGGGAAACTACGCCATGAAACTTTATGATGACATTTAATGGCCATTCTACTTATTGACAACGGCATCCTTCTGTCTGTTTAAAGTCAATAAAAGCATATAAAAGCGTCATACCAAAATATAGAGGTCATGGATGGTTATGGATTCTATAGTGATCGTATAATAAACATGGATTGTTGTTATTTACTATGTATTCTATGAAATCTGTAGTGCGAAAAATTGATGGTCAACAATGAAGGCACTTGGACTTTTTATTGGTGTATCTGGCACATGTTTCATCTATAAATTTCATCAGTCTCTGATCTACTTATCGTATGGAACCCAAAAGAGGTGAGGGGGGGGGGGGAGAGCAAATCATCCTGTCTGTCCTGCTTGCTGTTGAGGTCACAGGTTCTGGAATGGCTCTAGCCCTAGACTGGTGGTTCTAATGGCCCAAAGGGGCGGTTTTCACGTAACCCGAAGAGACTCCTTCAAGGAGCAGAACAATCAACCCGCCAACCTTTGGCCTGACGGACCTTGCTTTTGGCGGACACTGGTCGTTGCTCTCAACTGTCCCGACTCTGCCCGACGAAGTGGTTCAGGAGAAAACTCTGCAGACTAAGGCGCTGGAGCGTGGATAGTAAAAGAGATCGTGCCATCCTGGAACCACCTGGTCGACCAGTTCCTGGGCGGCGAGCAAGGTCTTTGATCTTTCTAGTCATGGGATGCGCGTTCAGCTTTGTCTTGCTCAGCTTGTATTCTTGGAGTCATCCAAGAGTCTTTGATATTATAGGACTCTAATCCTAAGCAGCGCCAACAACCCCCTTAGCAGTCCAACCTAAAGTTCCAAAGCCCGGGTCTTTGAGTCACCATGTCGAATAGAAATCATTAGACTCAACCTCCCTTCATCCAAACCAAGCAAGCGCAAACGAGATTCCATCAACGTCTCGCCTGCGAAACTTCGGAAGGAAGGAATCGGCAGCCGTCCTGCCGTCCTGCTGCCGGTGGACAGACTCATCGCGGTTTGGGAGGGCTGAAGAGAGGGTCATGGCTTGGTTTGGGAGTCCTAGTTGGCTGGAACCAAGTTGAGGACACAGTTCTCTCTTACAAACATATAGCTTGATCCTTGCGCCAGGCAAAAGTGACAACAAGTTGATTCTGGTCCTTTTCTTTGGAGACCTGCAAAAATGCGGCGAACTAACCAACCGTCTTCATTGGAAGTTGTCACTGAATGTGTTCCTCCCGCGTGTCTTTTCGGTGAGGAAAAGCTAGCACAAACAAACTACTACATCCGCCGTTTTTGTCCAGCACTACACTTGTCCTCTATGAGTTCTTCAGCCAAGTGGTGGCCCACAGGCCCTCGGTCCGATGAAACCTGGCGATAGCTCATGCACGGATCAGTGTAAAATCCCGTTGCTCACCAGATCGCACGAGTCATAAAGCGAGGTGGACGCCCCCCCGTAGTCCCGGTTATGTTCCAGCCAAAAAAAGGTTCTCATTCAAATCACATGGGTGACATCATACGGGCTTTAATAAATTCTCAAACACTGTCATAACTAGAAATCCTCCATGAGCAACCCTCTGTTGCTGATCTCAAGGCATAGCTACCCGCGGAAAAGCAAAGGATCGGAAACAGCAAACTTATCTAATTGGAGACCGCGCGATCCACTAGGGATCAGAATCTCCAACAAGATTCAAGATCAACACCACGCATGGCCTGTCTTTATCTGCCAATCGGACGGTAAATCTCGCCAATTTCATCAGCAGTCCGCCTGAGCGCAGAACACCAGAAAAGCTCTTAGCAGTAGTTCACATCCCAATATCCCAAAGGATCCCAAAGGCATGAGAGGACTCTTCCCAATGCAGGGCAAACCGTCATTCTCCATCAGTTCTTGCAGTGAGTGTTTCACACCATCCTGAAACCAGCCTTAATTGCCACCAAGGCGCGGCCAAGACTACTGCAGAAGGGGGCGCATGTCGCCCCCTATCCCTTCTGCGGGTGCAGTGTAGTGCAATTCAAACCCACATTGCCCTTACAGCTGAGCCCAAACCGCAGCAGTCGAGCGTTCACGAGGGGTCAGGGGAGCGTGCAGTTGAGTGAGCTGCTCACGTGATTGGGTGGGAGGTCGGGAGAGTTGAGTTTAAGGGGTTTGCAAATTCACTAGTTTTTGCATGTTTTTGCTACAAGCCAGGAAGATCCAAGAAGTAGCTCGTACCAACAAGTAGTTGACCAAATGGTGGTACTGTTTCAACGATCCAACTAAAAACGGACAAAGGTGGAGAATCCTGCGGATCCACAAAATCAAGAAAAGTTACCCCATGGCGGTCGAACCGAGTGGAAGAGAAACGTTGGAGGCAGAAGTGGAGCGGGTTTGGTTCCAAGATGTTGGTTCCTTCCTGACTTTTGATCCAAAAGACCCATGTTTTCATCCAACTGATTGTGGGGTGGCAATAGATTAGAACGTTTGGAACGTCTCAAAAGAAGCATGTGCTGCAAACGTTATGAGGCAATGTTCAGAATGCAGGATACAATTCTCAAGCCATACATCATACAGGAACATCTCAACCCACTCCCCGGAGGACTGATACTTTGTTCACTCAAGCCAAGCTCTTTGGATCCTCCAATGACTTAGTTCGTCTTTGGATGCCGTTGGACTGACACACACAGTGCCTTGGCCAAGAGCTCGATGCTGCCTGGAGCGGATTCCTTCTTTCTGGCGTGTCCTATTGTTGTTGTGGCAGCTTTAGAAAGAAACTGACTGCTCAAGCTGGTGAGTCGACATGGCATGGAATGGACGTCACAATGAAGTGGAGTGGAGCCAATGGTCGTGGTATGAAGTGAGGGATGGTGCAAAACACAGCAAGCACCAAAGAAGGACACCTAGATCATGCTGAAGAGTTCCATAGGCAGGACTGAACACAACAAACAAAATGCAATGGTTTGTTCTCCACCAGGACACGGAGTATTGACACCGGTTCAATGAAATCCAATAAAGAAAGCAAAGGCTCTGCATGAACTCCACGTGTACGTGAGATTCGCGCAGTAAGAAAGAGATTAAACAGACTTTGGTCCGGTCTTTCAGAAAAACCACATCCGGATTCCCTGGTTAACGCAAAAAAGATCAACACCATGGAAAGCAAAAGCATGGCCACGACGCGTGGCGCAAGAACATTCACCAAAATGACCAGCTGATCAAATCACAAAAGAGTTCCCTGCGAAGGATCAGTCCCCCACCCTGAAGCACCTCAGCCTGCTGATCGCCCGTGCTTGCGCCGGAAGCGCTCCAGGTTTCTGCGACTGCCTCGGGTCTCCTCATTGTCTGGGCCGTGAAGCTCCTGCGATGAAAAGCCGCAGAAACAGGGTTTTGGATGGTTTTGGATGGTTTTGGGGTGAGTCCTTGCACGTTTTGCACTGGAAGCGTCACCAACTGAGAGCACACTTAAGCACACCAACCGCATGCTTGCCTGTGGTTCGCTGAGAGTGACTGTGAAAGAGAATCATGGCCGTAAACCTTTGGGAGCCGAGTTTTTGCTCAGACGACGCTGGAGGTTAGTGGTGCACCTCTGCTCCACACACGGTCAAGTCTCTGGCCAGACATCTTATAACACGAAGGCACCAGAGAACCTCCGAAAAGTTCGATTTAGAAACAAGTCACATAAATAGTTCCTAAAGAGCACATGACCTGCCGAGTCAACGCCTTTCGATTGTCGGATTGGCCTCCATGGCATTCAACTCTCTGATGAAAAGCTCTTCAGCCTGGACAATCGGGCTCGTGATCCCAAGTGGGTGGTTGCGTGGACTTTCCTTTTGCGCGAATCCGTTCGAAATGCCCTCAGTGCAAAAGAAATCCGAACCCCCGCAGACCCCCTCAATCCGCCCGCACCTCGGCGGTGGCACCGGTTGCCTCCAAGAGCAGGGCCAGGCAATAGACGCTGTTCAGTGTGTCTGCACGATTGGCTCCGAGTTGAGCTTCGAATCCCGCCAGGGCTCTCCTCATCAATAGCTCTGCGTCAGCGAACTTCTCCCGCTCAATCAGCACACGTGCCACGTTGCTCATCGATCTGAGCGCCTTCAGATCCTCAGGGCCGTGGAGCTCCTGTGCCGGTGCTGGAAGATGTCATGTTGCAATGCGCTGTCTGTGCCTCATAAACATGGTGCGTCAAATATCACAGTCATAGACAGACTTGTGTACTGTTTGTTTGCTGGGGAAACATTGTAGCTCTTGACTCTTGACTTGCCTTTCAGTAAAGTATGCGGGTGAAGCGACTCTTTTATGAGTTCTTTCATTGATGCTCATTAAGCTAACAATCTGTGGAGTGCATGGCATCCTTTCAGCATCTTTCGATTGTCGAAGTGTCCTCCAGGCCGTTCAACTCTCTGATGAAAAGCTCTTCAGCCTGGACAATCGGCTCTCTAATTCCCGAAGCTTGAAGCTTAGGGGTGAGACACCTGGGCCAGTGGGTACGTCCGCTAGCATCATGGTAGGCAATCAAAGAGAAAGCTCCAAGTTCCCAAATGTCCTTTCCCGTCCTCTTCCAAGGGTTCGCATTGAGCGAAAACGGCCATTCACCCTTGAATAAGGTCTCACACGTCCAAATCACTTCTGAATACTTGCTATTGCCCTTTGAAAGGTCTCGGCCTGAGGTCTGCTACCATGACGCTTTGAGTCTCCGATTGTTTAACTGTCATGGAACCCCATGATGCCATGAGATTCATGATTATATAAGGTCTTCAGATTCACTATATCATGCACACCCTCCAACATCACCCAAAAAACTCACCACAAATCCAAAAACCGGTTCACCTCCGCCGATCCGCGGAAGGTCCTCCCCTTCAGACCCTTGCTCCCCAGCGCCTCGGCGATGGAGCCGGTCGCCTCCAAGAGCTTGGCCAGGCAACGGACGCTGCTCAACGTGCTCGGATGCCCGGCTCCGAGGTGCGACTCGAAACCCGCCACGGCTCTCCGCATCAAGGGCTCGGCGTCGGCGAAGTTCTGCCGCTTCATCAGGACACCCGCCAAATTGTAGACCCAGGTCAGGGTGTCTGGGTGTGAGCGCCCGAGATGCGCTTCGCTTCCGGCCAAAGCTCTTCGGAACAGCTCTTCGGCTTCATTGATCTTGCCTTGGGCTTCAAGAAGCGTCGCCAGGGTGTTCACGGAAATTAAGGTCTCCGGATGTGCTGCTCCAAGAAGAGCCTCGCTTCCTTCCATGCATCTCCGGGCCAAAGGCTCCGCTTCATCCAACTTGCCCTGGCTCTTCAGCACGAGCGCCAGGTTGTTCAATGACTCTAAGGTCTTTCGATGCTTCGACCCCAGCTGATCCTCGCGGCCCGCCAGGACGCGGCGCTGCAGTGCCTCCGCCTCGGCCAATTGGCCTTGACGCATCAGCACAACCGCCAAGTTCCCCACAGATACCAGCGTCTCCAAATGCGCATCTCCCCGGCAACGTTCCTTCGCCTCCACCGCCCGGCGGTACATCTCTGTCGCTTCCCTCCACTGGCCTCGTTCCTTCAAGACATGCGCCACATTGTGGAGCGAACTGAGCGTCTTCGGATCCTCGAGACCAAACTGCGCTTCGTACGCTGCCAGGATCCGCCGCCACAGCGTCTCCGCCTCGGCCAGGGCGCCACGGTGCAGCAGCACCTCCGCGAGCCTCACGGAGTAGATGTCCAAGGATCGGTTGGAAATAGAAAAAGGATCTGAAAAATGTAAAAAATAGGTTTGATATGTAATAAGATCTGTAATTACATGTTTGATCCTTAATTTGATTTAGATCTGTAATAATCAAATTGTCTTTAGACATGTCATTGAAATCTGCCAAAAAATGAAATGAACCTGATCAAGGCTTTGTCCAACAGATTCTCTGAATTTCCAGCACATATTGCATCTGCAGTAGTCAGTGTTATACAAATGCCGAGGACGATACCGGCCAAGCGCCAAAAGGGTCTTGGGCTGCTCTGAGCCCAGGTGGGTGGTGATGGCTTCGGCGCGGCAGCGGAGCCTTGGCCACTCACAACTCGTTCACCAATCTTCTATCAACACGAGCGCCGCAGGGTGCGCGTTATCAATCTGGCTACTACATCTACATTGATTCACAGTCTAATGAGGATTTGATTTCTGAATACTCTGAATTGTGGCTATTGCCTAATCTGCACTCGAATACTCACTTCTCTGACATCAGTTAGCTCTACTCTACGGCCATTCAATTCAATTTGGGAGAGCGGTTCAAGACTAAAACCTACAACAGTGTCCCAAAGACAAACAAACAGCAACGTCAATGGTTGTAGGGTAGCGTTCGCCACTTTTCAAGTCAAATAGTATCGTATTCTCATATTCCTTGCGTGCCCTGAACATTGTGAAAAGCTTGCGGCAAACCACGCACAGGTGCAAGGCCATAGTTGCTAGTGCTTAAAATGCTAAAACGACGTGTTCACAAAGCTCACTGCCCATGCGGGCACCAAGCATGAGGGACATACAAAGGTTGACGGCAATTGGCTCGTCATCTGCCAGCAAACAAACACTGACAAGATCTGACAAGCCCAGAACAGAAGGTTGAAGACTTGGTAAGAAATCGCCTTGATGATGTCCAAGACAAAAACTAAGGTGTTACTATCTTATAACTTGTATTTGTAATCCCTCGCCCTGTCTCTGAAAATGGATTGGTTTTGATGGCAAACAAGCGTCGTTTCCACCAGCACTGCTCTAGCATGGCCGACCTTCTCCTGAGCAAGCAGCATGGTGCCCTTGTACTTTTACTATCGTTAGAACGAGATTGTTTGCCGTTGCGCCATACCGTTTTCATGGTATTGCAGTGCACCCTTGCATCTACAGTAGTTAATGCCTAGCATGAACACATGCGAAATCAGCATTGTGGATCTGCAGCTTCGACTCGAAGCTACGCAAAACTTCCTAAATATACTCGCATTCCAGAAGCTCCGAATGCCCGACTGTTTCTCACTGCGAGCCACTATCGTTCCAACACCCCCTGGGCAACCCTGCCATAACAGCCTAATTGCTTTTGAAGCTTGGCATGACATATATATAGTGTGATTGATAAACTGTTGAATTGAAATTCTAGAGTTGTTGTCCCAACTAAACTTCCATGATAATCTGGTTCAAAGTCTGCTCGCCTCCTGTTGTACTCGGACAACTATGCATTCTCTTGGCGGCATTCCAGGTTCATTCAGCAGCTTGCCAGCCAGATTCCTTGGCCAGCTGAAAATCATGGTCTAAATTTGGATATGGAAGTTCGTTTGATGGTGCAGAAGTAAACTTGGTGCGCTGCACTCCGATTGGCTTGCCCTGTCCGCAAGACGAGCAGCAAAATGCGCGAAAACAAAGACAGTTTCACACAGTTGCAAACAAATACACAAGCCATTACAAATCGTTCGAGCCTTCTCAACCATTTCCGGCGTCTGTCGTTTTGATACGTCATAGGAGCAGCTTGCATCAACCAACATGGGGATGCAATAGGCAACTCTGGAGTGATATTCCTTCAAGAATCTCAAAGGGAATCGGCCCCGGTCTGTCCAACATGGCTAGGCTTGCATGCGCAAAAGGAATATGAATACTGCATACTACATACTCTCAAACAGCAAACATCAAGAAGAATCACAGATATTACACAAAGCTCTCCTCCACTGTTGCCTCGCGGCCTTTCAGTTCGATGTCACGCCTCATCAGGAATGTTCCGAATCGAACCAGAGATAATCACCATTTGTAAGCCTTACAAGACTTAAATCCCAACACCTTTGGATTCCATTTCCCACTAGGATTGCAGGATTGAAAGTTAATCCGCGCAGATCCCAAAGACTAATCCGTAACCGCGTAATCTTCAATCCGTGCAATCCTAGGGGGATTAGATAGGATCAAGCCAGTCTGCTTTCATTGTTTGGAACGGGTTCAGTCTGAACCTGCAGTGAACTGAACCTGCAGTGAACTGTTTAGAGTGTCTTAGAGTCAAGTTTCTTAGGATGTGTGATTCCGACGAAACGAAACGAACCGGACCACGAACCGAATCGGTTCGAATCGAAACCAATTCCTAGGAAACCGATTCTTTAAATAAGGAACCGAACCGACTAACTGACGATCGAATCGAACCCACCCTGCCTCATCATGTTCCTGTAATTGTTATCGAGCAGGGTCTCGATGTTGGACCATTGATCTGGTGCTTTCCGCACCTCAATCGCTGCAACACGAAGCGCGTAACGCTGCGATTCTGGTGTGTAGGGACAGCATGGCTGTATCGGCCCAGGCAGGACCTGCATGTATTGTTTCCCCTCTGAGATTTGCCCATGGCCAAAGCACCTACAAATTGTAACAAAATGTGCCTAATACTGTGACACCCGCGTTGGAGTGCCCGAGCAACTAAGTTCTGTACAGAGTAGACACCTGTCATTGCTGTCATGTCAAACCATGTGTCTCACAACGGCAGGGGTAGCACAGTGCCAAAACCGATGCGCACTGTTCTACACATGCAAGTGAAACACTACACATCGTGGCCAAACATGTTGAAATGAACATATGCCCAACAAAACACCGGCTCCTGAGAGATGCAATGACATCAATAAACTACGAATGCTGTTCGTCCTATTCTGGAACTATATGTTTGTCATTTCCAAGATAGAATCTGAGAGAAGACTGACATGCCAGTAGCTGCCCTTGCCTCGACCCCACCAGGCATTGGCCTTTTCACCCTCTGTGATCAACGATGCCTGCAAAAAGCACGGATGCAGTGGAGCTGACTGACTGGGAAGAACTGAATTCAACACATTAATTGTAATGACATTGAACTCTGAGAGAAACACGAAGACTTCCACCAATTCTTTGCGTTCGTTGGTGATGTTGCGAAAGCCGAGCTCCGTGGTGTAGTGGAAGAAGCATTCTACGTCACCAGCACGACCAGCACCAGCTTGCGTCAGATCCTAAGATGTCAAAAGGCCTGGATTAGGCAAAGGTCCAACATGTTTCTTGGCCGCCAGAGCCTTTGGGCCTATAAATCCTATAGCCTGTCACGAACAAGGAAAACCACGTGTTTGGGGGGTCATTTGTCCCAAAGACTTTTTTTGGACATGAGAATACACTGCAGGTGTCAACCCTAACCCGCTTATCTGTATAGACTATAGACATGACAAAGCTTCAGTCCCTTACATCAAGTACAAAATGCAACAAACATGTTTGCGCAACAACTTAGCTCGGGTCAAGCGCATCTTGCCAGACCTGCAAGAATCTGCTACGAGCTACCGGTGCAGCTCAAGTTAGCAACTGTGAAAAGGTGTGACGAGACGTTACGCAAACCCTCACATTGATGGCACCTTGATGTTCGACCCCTTGTGGAGCCAGCACCAGTCATCCGCATCGTGTTTATACTCCTCGTGAGCGAACACACCCCCCTTCCTTGTAAGCCTTCTCGAAGTAGTGCTTCAGACTAGCCTCGCGGAACGGTGGCGGGATACTGATGCAAAATCATGAAGATGACTTGCCCTGAAGCAGATGGCAATTAGTGCAGTCCCACCCACTTGTGGCAGAAATACTCGGGTGAGATTTAATTGGGTTCAAATCAAGTTGGTTCCAAGTATGTCAGCCAAGTCAGGCAACTAGAAGCAAGATTGAGCAAAGGACGCTGTAAACTGTAAACTAACCCTTCTGCAACAAAACAAGTGCAAAGCATAAACAAACACACGGCAAAGCCCATGAATCCAAGATCATCCAAGTACAATGAACCCTCGCTACAGAATCTACTTCCGAAGACGTCCGAGGCAACTTGAGGAGATTGGCTGGCACTTCCGGAAAGTACCAAACTTTCAACATGGCTGTGCTTTCAGCAAAGGAGGTATATATAGTCAAGGCTTTGGAGCCTGAAAGGTCATTGCCTTTGTAGACCGAATCATACACGTTGGGAGCAGCACAACACGGTCAACAATGGCGTCGACAACGATTTGTGACTGCATGTTGCTGACGTCATTGAGATTCCTTGAGTGTGTTTCTTCTCTCGACAAGCTGCAAATGGTAGACTCAACGCTCTATGCACTCTATGGTGCCCCTTTCCACACTCAGATCATGATAACCAGTTTGTCCCTATACCAGTAGCAGGCCCAGCATCTCCCGACTATATGGATTTCTATCAAACACAGACTGGGGGGCGTCGAACAATGGACAGAACTGCGAAGTGTGTTTGTTCAAATGCCCAAAACATGTTTGACAAATATGACCGGGTCGGATGTCTACTCTACAGGGAAGGGAGTCCCGGGCGCCTCAGAAATCACTTGTTCCTCCTCTTTGCTCCCTTCTCTCACACCGTCACTTTGGACCTGACAAAACCGTCAGTGGTTGGTGAATGCGGATGGAATAACTCATGTTCATCATATTTTGTAGTATGCCTTCTTCGTGGTGTGAGAAGTTAGCCTGGACATGCTTGGACCATGTTGAGAACATGTGCTTCCCAAAGCCAAGAGAGTATATACACAAGCTTGTACGCCTTTCTTTATATATATATATACTTGACAATCAACTGCTCAGTGTGCCTCTGGCTCTTCCTTTGGGCCAGCTTCCTGCCACACATGGCACACAGGCAACAGTAGAGAAACCACGTAACAAGAAGGGTGGTCGCATTGACGATCTTGCGGGCTCGTGGCCTCCCGGTGTTTTGAATTCATTAGCAGGGAAGGGGGTCCCGGGCGCCTCAGAAATCAATTGTTTGTCAGTTTGGACCTGACGAAACCGTCATTGGTTCGTGAATCTGAATGCACAAACTAAGGAAAGTTAGCCTGGACATCCCTGGACCATGTTGAGAACATGTGCTTCCCAAAGCCAAGAGAGTCTACGGTAGTATTAGAGAGTGCTTCAGAAAGCAACTTTGCTTCTGGCTCTCCCTTTAGGCTTGAGACCTTGAGGGGAGCACATGCATTGCGAAGCACACAAAACTGCAAACGCTCGAAACTGCAAAGGCCACCACCGCCCACCCCAAGGCTCCTCCCGTGCTTTTTCTGTCCCTTGTGACAGGCTTTGTTGCCTTTGTCGCTCCTCCCACCGAGGCAGAAAGCCGATAACTTGAAAAGAGACGCTCTCGCTGTGCAGGCCTGACATGGCCTGACAAAACCTGCATAACGAACGAAAGGACTTTCAAAGGGTCGACACGTCTTGTGGGGAAAGAGATGAACACTTTGGTGCGCATCAGTTGCGCGCATCAGGTTGCACTGTTGACACGGGTGAGGTGGTGAGGTTTCGCATCGAACTACTACAGTCATCAAACCACAATGAAGTTCAGAAGTAAATCAAAGCTTGAGAAAAGCATCGGTTTTCACGACGAGCCCAGCCTCGTCCCTTTCTGATCGGCCAGTCTGTGCTTGCTCCTCCTTGCATCGGAGAACGATGATGAACACCGCATTTGATTGATCGAATCCATAGTAATACTATGGCACTATATACCAGAAAAAGCCACAGACCCTGACTTGCCCATCGTTCGATCTCCGTCTCCATTCAATGCTCACGGAACAGCCACGGCCCACACCTGGTAGCTGGCGACCCTCCGAAGGGTTTGGCGTCCTGAAGTCTCTTCTACCTGTCCGTCCGCTACCTGTCCGTCCGGGCGCCTCGAGCTGCACGAGCGCGGCCAAGATCTTTTGCCGCTCCTCCTGGACGTTTCTTCAGCGGGAGCGACCCAGGTACGATACAAAAAGAGAAACACGGGGTATTTGTGCTCAAGGGCCTCGGAAGTCTTCTGCGGTCGATTTTTCGTGGCACGTACATCGACCGAAAACCACATCAACATGCAGCAACTCATCAGCAACTCATCTCCAAGCAATCCTAGATAGGGCGCGCAAGTTCTATGGATTTGATGAAATGTTCACTTGATCGGTTTTCCCTCAGATGTAGACACCCCCGTCCAGCATCCTCTATGATTTCCATCCGCCCCAGCTGCGTCCAATGCAAGCTGCGCAGCTCCGCCCACAGAATTGGGATTCTCCGACCCGTCTCCCAAAAACCGAGAAGCTCCGCGTTCCACCACCCGGTCACCATTCACCCACCGCTTCGGAGCCCCACAAGAAGAGTTTGTTCGCGGCTCCTGGCTCAAGGCGTCCACCAGCTGCTGCGCCTGCGACGTCGAGACGATGGGCGATGTGAGGTTAAAAATTGATGGGCAAATGGAAGCTGCCGCGGGCTGCGGGTGGATGAAGGAGCAGCTGGGTCGGCGCCAAGGATTATCCCGATCGAGCATGGTCCAGAATCTTCAAGTTCACAGCCAGGGACTCTCTGAGGGACAAAGAGTGAGTGGCTTTGATGACATAAACTCCAAAGACTCCTTTGATCAAATCTTCTGATTTTCACTTGCAGAATCTACGAAAGTTTGTGAGTGATTCAGCAGGTCCATCTCCCTACCTCTCACCACATGGGACTACTGAATCAAGTCTGACCATCTGACTGTCTGACCCAGCCTCCCAGGGGTTTGGAGATCGAGTCT